ATAGCTTTGGCTCTGTTTATAACTTCTTGCAGACTCGACAAGTTCAAGGCCATCATCATTTCTTTCAGCTTTGGCCTCAGACCCTCTATGAACCATTCACGTCTGGCCTTATCATTTGACACACTTTCAGTGGCAAAATGGCTCAACTTGTTGTATTCAACCTCAAATTCATGAACGAATCGATTCCTTTGCTTTAAATTAAGGAACTTTGTCAACATTGCTCGTTTAAACTGTTCACCCACATTTTTTTTTAAATTCTTCCTGGAAAAATTGACATGTGACTTGTTACAGTGGTGCATATATAGTAGTGTTAGACCATTCTAGTTGATCCTCTAAGCAAATATACCACTCCTCCCAACTTTTCCTGATATGACCATTGCAAGCTTTCAAGCATTAACATTACATCATTCAACCACATATCGGCTTCCATAGGACCCTCACCCTCATCCCCTCAGAACTCTGGAGCTCCCAAACTCTTCAGCTCCTTGAGAATCAACATTCTAGTTACTGGAGGAGCAGGGGGAGGTTGAAGCCGAGTAAAAATGGCATCAAGGGCTTGCATAAAATTTACAAAGTTAGGAGTCAGAATCCCTTGAGGTACAGGTGTACTTGCATTTTCCGAAATAAGAGGTTGTGCATTGTTATCCTCATAACTTTCACTCCCCGTTCCCTCTTGCATGTCTTGTTCCCATCCTCTTCAAGAATTTGAGGATTCTGACATCTAATAAAACATACATAATGATATCATTATCGTTAGTAATATTTGACATCGTCTCGGTAATATTATCATCAGTTAGGGGTGTTATCAATCATCATCTAATGATACAATCTCAGTAACATTGACACCCTTATTGGCATGTAATCCTTTTTCTATTTTAAAATAGAACTAATTTTGGGCGAGAATCGACTAAACCTATATCTCTGATACCAATAAATATAACACTCATATTCTATATACAATTACGTATACGAATACAAATGTCACATTACTGAAAATACTATATCCTCGTTGTGAAAATCCTTTAAAATTTTGTTGCAAACTTAATTCCACATAATTAACATCATAAATACATATTCAGTAAAACATAATACAAAATATTTTGTTATATTTGATTCCATGACAAACAGGTTCCAAAATGGTTATTAAAGTCCTAATGTTATTAGGGAGTCAACCTTAGTAGATGATGTTTGCTCCTACAGCTTCACTCCTTACTTGATGATTATCTACTATTACCTACACGTAGAAATACACATGATAAGTATATCTTAGTGAGTCGTGATATAATAAATAACCTCTGGTGTTCAAACATATTTTATCTCTCATTTATCAAAACCATTTTTCATGATTCCTTCTTTTCGTTTGTAACCTCCATTTATGTTTATAATAAATCATTATGCATTTTAAACTCTAACATCTTTTTTTGTTGATAATGCACCCATATACATTTATGTTGATAATGTACCCATATACATCTCAACCATAGTATACTTTTATGTTGATAATGTACCCATATACATTTCAACTCTAGCATACTTTTCTGTTGATAATGCACCCATATGCATTTCAACTCTAGTATACTTTTCTGTTGATAATGCACCCATATGCATTTCAACTATGGCATCCTTTCATGCACATAATGCACTCATATGCATTATTCTTTTATGCTGACAATGTACCCATATACATTTTAGCTATGGCATCCTTTCATGCCAATAGTGCACCCATATGCATTATTCTTTTACATTCGTTTTAGAGCAGTTCATACTCTAAAACTTCATTCACAACATCTATTTCATATATTCCATAATACATAATAATTTCGGTAAAATATACATTAACATATAAATATTACATTCTGGATAATTTCTAATCATGTTAATCTAAATTACATACAATAAATGTACTCACCTGGCTTTCCTTACTCAAATTCCAAAAGTAAAGATAATTATTGCGGAACTTGGCCCTTGCCTTTCGTCTTACTCGACTCGGGAGCTTATTTTGATATATCTCACATTCTTTAAATACATGAGTAATATCAATTGTTAGTGTGTTTCCTAACAATTATAGCTTAAACATTAATCAAAATACTGATTATTAACTTTTCTACAACAATATCAACACAAATTATAATTTCTAGCCCTTCAATATCGATACCCCCACTATCCGTATCGATACTACCCTACTATGGTATCGATACCCCCTACCAGTATCAATACCAAAATTAGATTCGATGTGGCTAAGTATTGATAGCCTTACCATAGGTATCGATACCACTATATAGTATCAATACTAAAATTAGGTTCGATGTTACCCGGTATCGATACCCCTTCATTATGCACCGATACTGATTGAATCAATATCGATACTTCTTAGATGATTTAGCCCAATTTTTGCCTATGGTATCGATACCACTTCATTAGGTACCGATACTCCTGCCCAGATTTTCCAGTTTTCAACCCGAAATTTACCCAACTTTGGCCAATTTTCCTCTCATTTTCCTTTAACAATACTACATAACACTTCTTTACTTAGCCCTACTTCCTTTCTTTCATTTAGACACTTAAAACATTCAATATTCCTCAAGAGCATTTGATTATAAGAATCACCCCATAATTTCTAACTTGTTATTTCACTCAACCAATGCTTCTAATCTTTCATTTACCTTAATGACAAGTCAATTTTACCAACAAACATTAATAAACCTTCATTTATTAACATATCATTATAAAACTCATTTTCTTTAATCTCTAATATCTCATTCATAACTTAGTTTTAATCTCCTCTAAACCTTTATTAAGTTTCTATCTTATGCAATGATTTGATAACTAACGAAAATTAAAGGAATAATTCATTAATTTGAAAACTTACCTTTAGCTAGGGTTGAAGGCTTTTTCACGTAAAAGAGGAAGAATAAGAAGATAGTGTTTTACTTTCCTCTTTTATCCTCTCCTTATTTCTCTAATATATATATATATATATATATCTACCATAATAAATGAAATTTAAATTCATTTATATTCAAGTACCCATAAATGCCCTTTTTAATATTTCCTCACTACAATTTAGTCTAGACTACTATTTCCACAACATTCTCATCTTTATCAAATAATCAATTTAGTCTTCCATATTTTAATTCCTTTCAATTTAATCACTGTCCTATTATTTGGGGTATTACATTATGTCATGGCTCTATGAATTCTAAGACGAGGGTTTTAAGTACTTGGATCTTTTTTATGAGGTTTCGGGATTGAAATTCAATGTTTCTAAACCTAAACTATTTTCTTGTGGTGTGGATGTGGAGAAGCTCAATGATATAATGACTGTTACTAGTTTTCGGTTAGGGTCTTTACCTGTTAGATGTCTTGGGGGTGTATTTGGTTACAAAGAAGCTAACAATTAAGGACTGCTCAGCCCTTTTGGAAAAGATCAAAATTAAACTTGGACTTTGGTTTAATAGATACCTTAGTTTTGGTGGTCGGTTGCAACTTATTAAAACTAACTTTTTTTTAGCATTTTTTACTATTGGAGTAGGCAATTTGTCTTGCCTAAAGTTTTGATTATGAAGGTTGAGCAATTATGCATGCATTTTTTATGGAAAAGTAGTGATGTTGCTGCGAAGGGTGCATGTGTAGGCTGACATCAAGTTTGCACTTTAAAATCGGATGGAGGCTTTGGGTTAAAGAGTCTAACTTACTGGAATACTTGTAGTTTGCTCCTGATAAATAACTTCTTAGCAAGTAAGGGTCTCTTTGAGTTGCTTGCGTTAAGGAATATGTGCTGAAGGGTATGGATTTCTGGCAGATTGACTGCACACCCCATTTTAACTGAATCCTTAGGAAATTGTTGAAGTTGGCTGTAATTGAAAGACTGTTTGCTATTGGTACTAATTGGGCTTTGGTAAATAGCAGTTGGATCTGGGATAATGTGAGGGAAAAGAAGGCCAAGATATAGTGGCGTAATCTTATCCGGTTCCCCTCCCAAATCCAAAGCATGTAATCATTACTTGGATGACTATTTTGGATAGGTTGCTTACTAAAGATAGATTTATTTAGATGAGGATTATCACGGATGACAGGTGTAACTTATGTGAAGTTACCGAGGAGTTTAGAGATCACTTGTTCTCGGAGTTTTCTTTCGAGGAATTTGGGGGAGGATTTTGTAAGCTTGCGGGTAACATCATCTGTTCTTGTATTAGGAAGGACTAATGTTGGCAATGGATAAGAAGGGGAAATCACTTATTGTGCGCATTCTCAAACTTGCATGGGCTGATTTTAAGAGGGTTGTTCACTGGATGGATGATGTTGTCAAGTATATTATGGAGGCTGTTCGAGTTATGCTGTATAGATTTTGTAAATAAACATAAAACTGTGTACGAGTAAGGGATACTATAGTCACTGTCAAGTCTCATCCATAGTTCGTATACATCTTTTATAGCTTTTGCCTGCTTCTTGCATAATATATCTGTGAGTGTTAAATATCAAAAAATTGGGATAATTAAATAGATACTAATTTGTACTTACTCCAAATTAATTAAAAAAAACACTTATAGTACAGTTTTAAGTACGTGTTAAATAATTTTCCTAAGTATTTTGTTTCAAAATTTAAATTCAATTTCATCAGATATCAAATATAAATAAACAATATCAAAATTGATTAGACAATACTGAAATTGAAATATTTTCCATCCTTGAACAAGTAAAATGTGAGAGAAGAGACAATTACTATGATACATTCCAAATTTATTTTTAATCAAAATGTATTTTTTTTTCCAGAAATTGAACTTTTGTTATTTTTTTTCAGAAAAATCTCGAAAAACATAGTTAACCACTCATTCCATTCGAACCAATAAAATATTTCTGAAATGCTGATCAAAGGCACACGTGACTAACACGACACCCGTTCGATCAGTAAAAGGATATAATTTTGATAAATTGACTAAGGGTACTTAATCCGTAAATAATTATTTGAAGAAAAAGCAACTCCAGAATTTTTCGAGAGATTAAAGCAAAAATATTTCAAGTCTTTCATTAGATGTAACTTGCAAGTCAAGACATGTTAAGCCAGATAATTGCAAGTATAGTAAAATACAAGAAAGCAATTTGTAAATGGCCTATGTTCTTTGTGTGACGCAACAATAAAAAGAAAACAGCAACGTGATCTTACTAACACATCGATGTTCCTATTTGGTTTCTCATGCAGTGGTAGGATGAATTTTGAAGCACTAACCTGCAAGACGAAAGATGTCGGTTTAATTGTTAGTTTATTCCGTGAATCATGCTTGAAAACGGCATTTGAAACTTCATGACAACATAGTTAATGTCCAAACCACAAGAACAACCTAAAAGAAGCCATGCCACAAAGACCTACTTGTGCATCGGATTCTAGTCCCTAATACTTCTCAAAACCTACGTCCATGTTTCCGCTACAGTGTTTCAAAGGGTAACTCATAAAAAGTTCATCCTTTCATAGTGTACTACTTGAACTAATTGCATAATCATTTCATTATTTTCTTATTTCTCCATAGTACATTCTTAGGTTGTTCGGACTTCTGACTGTTACTTTTCTTTAAATGCCATGTCTATAGGGATATGATCCTCGAAGAACATTCTAATACATGGAAAAATTTATGTGAAGAATCCATATCCGTATCTGACACACAAGCAAGTTCATGTAACATAGATTCATCCTTTCAAAGATCATTGCACTCCTCATTTGAGCAAGCCAGACTGAACATGGCCACAATCACCCCTGATAACTTCCCTTTTTAAACAAATAAACTAGTTCTTAAGCAAAAACATACAAGACATCCTAAAAGCTTTCTTCTAGTTTTAATTTGAGACAACTAACATGATTGTTCTATACCAGGTATTTACTTATAACATGTGAGATAACAAAGCAGTTTCGAAATAGCAAATCACATTTCAATTTAAAGAAGAGAATTTGATGGACACTTCATAATCAAGGGATCATTCGGTATCTAATGGAAAATAAACTTAAAAGATAGATCAATTTCACTGACAACATTTTATGATATATGATAACATGAATTTTTTAGTTTTGACTACAGCGACGCCTGAAAACCACAAAAGGGGGGCTTTACTGCATTTTGTACTCTTTACGAAGAACATATATTATTCCGTATGACACAAAGGAATTAATCATTCTAAGCAAAGTATAATTGAAATGTTTTTTTTTACAAAAACGGTGTGTCTCATCTAAGATGAAAAAAACATAGCCATGAATAAGTCCATCACTTCAATTCACAGCCTTACTGCTGGATCAAAAACACAAAGTGTCAAAGCCTTAACCAAGTTATAATCGAATACCTAAAAGATTCAAGGAAAATTTCCACATATAGCTAAATGACTTTTATATAGATTTAGGATTAGCAAAGATGAATCCATATTAGTCAAAAAGACAGAGTCATGTTTTGGTATGGCACTAACATTAATGTCAAAAGTAGATGCAAAGGTTAATTGTGAAATTGTATCCCTAGTTCCATAATTTACTGAAATTTGCTAAAAAAACAGCCAAGTTGCATCATTTATGGAAAAAAATTACCATACCCGATGAGTTTCGAGTATTCAATTGCTCTTGGAAGCCATGGCTTTTCTGGCAGCCATACCAGTCTTAGCAGCCCTTGCATTATCATACTCAAACTTCAACACATCTGGTATATGAGAAGTATCCTTGACATAAAAAAACCTCCCAAAGGAACTCTCTTCAATCAAAGGGAAATAACAGAAAAGCAAGGAGTTCACCACCCAAAACCAAACCCCACCAAGAAAAGCCCCCAGAGCAGCTCCAGCAAAAACTTGAGCCACAGTATGGTAACCCAAATAAACCCTGGAATACATAGTCAAAACAGCCAACGACCATGGCAAAAACAAAGCAGCCCACTTGGCTCTGACTTTCCAAATCCCCCCGATCCCCTTACAAGTTAAGAGGGTAAAATAAACAGTGAAGAAGAACATATATTGAGAGTGACTCGAAGGCCAGCCATGAGAATCACACATTTCTAATAGAACACATGTTTCGGGTCTGTCTTGTTGAACAGATTTCTTGATCAGCTCATTAATGAACTGTGATATTACGAGGCCTAATCCAAAGAACATTCCTTGAAGCTCTCTACGGAAGATGAAATGAGAAACAAAACCACCAAGGGAAATGAAAACGGGGACTAACGAAACCCAGGCTAAGAAATGTCCAAGCTGATCACCTCTTTGATACCTTACGTGGGTTAAAGTCACGGCCTTTAATGGATGATCTGCTCCCATGGTGAAATTCAAAGCAAAACTCGATTTGGGTTTTTGGAGAAACTAAAATTCAGATCAGTTTCAGGTGGGATCTGGTTTTAGGTTTCCGAAATGGGGTTTTCACTTTTCAGTGTTTGTTTCTCGAGAAACCGCTGATAAAGGAGAAAAAAAACAAACGAAAGGTGCGAGCTTGGAAGGCAGTCCAACGAAGGAACAACCCCGGTGTTGGCTACACGTGGGAATAATAGACAACACACGTTGATAGGTAGCTTTATGTAATTTTGTAAAATATTAGGGGTAATATTGGTTTTCCACATTGAAATAAAGTCAATTAGAGCATCTCTTATATCATATAGTAGGAGATAGAAAATATCGAAAACCCATCTGTTAATCTGAGATGTCGAACGGGAGCCGTTGGATTACTTGTGATCGACGGCTGAGAAAGAAACCCTAGTCTAGCCAATGCTGAGAGAGTGTCTACTTAAGCTGAAGCAACCCGCGGCTCTCGCGCACTCTCACAAGCTTTCTCTACTCTTATCTTCTCTTGGATCTCAAAGAGTCTCTTTTTAGCTCACAGGTATGAATCCGTGTACAAATTATTGTTGTTTTTCAAATTTCATTTCTTTGATTTGAAGGAAAATCCTATCCGATTTGTTCTTAGCTGAAATATCAGCTCTATTTTTGATTGATTGGCTTATAGTTTATATAAGTTCATTTTTATTTTCCTTCGCTTCATTGTGTCTTGTGAAATGTTTCTTTTTGATTGTCATGTTATTATTTCATGCATATATGTTCGTTTCAAGTTCGACATCTTTTTTTTGTTTAAAGAATTCCAGTTCTTACTGATTTATTGAAGCAAATGCAGCTCAAGGGAAACTTGTTATTGAAAATAATCAAAATGATCAAAGAGTATTTTTGTAGGCTCGTTTGATTTCAATGAAAATGCTTGACTGGCTTTATGGGACTAGATGAGTTATGATCTAGTGGCTGTAGTTCATTGGAATGAACTCCATATCTATGGAGGAACTGGGCTCGAATCCCAGCGGCCCCGTATTGTACATTTTGAATCTGGTGGATTTGAATGCGGACTGATTTTGTTTTTCGAAAATGGGTTTGAATTATTCTTCAAAAACTGATCTTGTTTTTAAGCTGATCTCTGATTTATCAATTTTTTCCATAATATGTGGGTTTTCTTGTTCGGTTTTGATGTGGATTTTTTTTTGTGGTTAGGCGAAGGAGAATTATGGTTTGAACTTGTGTGATTTGTTAATGTATATGAGTATGTGTATGTCTTGATTTTTCAGATTATCTCCCAAATTTTATAATGGGTAAGGAGAAGATTCACATCAACATTGTGGTCATTGGCCATGTCGACTCTGGGAAGTCGACAACAACCGGTCATTTGATCTACAAGCTTGGTGGTATTGACAAGCGTGTGATTGAGAGGTTTGAGAAGGAGGCTGCCGAGATGAACAAAAGGTCACCTCAAGTATGCCTGGGTGCTGGACAAACTTAAGGCCGAACGTGAACGTGGTATTACCATTGATATTGCCCTGTGGAAGTTTGAGACCACCAAGTACTACTGCACTGTCATTGATGCCCCCGGACATCGTGACTTTATATAGAACATGATTACTGGTACCTCCCAGGCTGACTGTGCTGTTCTCATTATCGACTCAACCACTGGTGGTTTTGAAGCTGGTATCTCTAAGGATGGTCAGACCCGTGAGCATGCTTTGCTTGCATTTACCCTTGGTGTCAAGCAGATGATTTGCTGCTGCAACAAGGTGAGATTTATAATCATCCATATCTATTATTGTATTGTATTGTATTGATGGCCCTTTATGATCATTGTGTTGATTAAAGCTTAGTTTTGCGACTGATCTGATTATCAATTATAATTTGTTATAGATGGATGCTACAACCCCCAAGTATTCCAAGGCAAGGTATGATGAAATTGTGAAGGAAGTCTCTTCATATCTTAAGAAAGTTGGTTACAACCCCGAGAAGATCCCATTTGTCCCAATCTCTGGTTTTGAGGGTGATAACATGATTGAGAAGTCTACCAACCTTGACTGGTACAAGGGTCCCACACTCCTTGAGGCTCTTGACCAGATCAATGAGCCCAAGAGGCCTTCAGACAAGCCCCTCCGACTCCCACTTCAGGATGTCTACAAGATTTGTGGCATTGGAACTGTTCCAGTTGGTCGTGTGGAGACTGGTGTCCTTAAACCTGGTATGGTCGTGACATTTGGCCCCTCTGGTCTGACCACTGAAGTCAAGTCTGTTGAGATGCACCATGAATCCCTCCCGGAAGCTCTCCCTGGTGACAATGTCGGGTTCAATGTTAAAAACGTTGCCGTTAAGGATCTCAAGCGTGGTTTTGTTGCTTCAAACTCCAAGGATGATCCTGCCAAGGAGGCTGCCAATTTCACCTCTCAAGTCATCATCATGAATCACCCTGGCCAGATTGGAAATGGATATGCCCCAGTCCTCGACTGTCACACCTCCCACATTGCCGTGAAATTTGCTGAATTGTTGACGAAGATTGACAGGCGATCTGGGAAGGAGCTTGAGAAGGAGCCCAAGTTCTTGAAGAATGGTGATGCCGGGATGGTGAAGATGATTCCCACCAAGCCTATGGTTGTGGAAACTTTCTCCGAGTACCCAGCTCTTGGACGTTTTGCCGTCAGGGACATGCGCCAGACTGTGGCTGTTGGTGTTATTAAGAGTGTTGAGAAGAAGGACCCAACCGGTGCCAAGGTCACCAAATCTGCTGCAAAGAAGAAGTGAGATTGCATTTGAGCAATATTACTGCTAGGATAATTTTCCTATTATGCTTTGATTTTTGTTTAGTTTTGGTTGGACCAATTTGATATGCTTTTCGTTGCTGTCATGTTTTTGGTTGAGACTTCGAACATTGTTGTTGATTTTCTGTACTTCTTCGTGTTCAATTGCCTTCTAAGATTTACAGGTTTGATATTTATGTTTTCTTGGTGTTTTGATTTACTTGAGCCTCTATAGCGGCAGGTGATAGTAAAATCTATAAAAAAAAAAGGTTCATAACTATTTAGACTGGTGGGTTGCATCCCGACAACTAATTGCTCGGGCAAACTCAAGTTATTCTGGTGATTGATTCTACCTGGGGCAAGGCAAACTCGCGAGTGTTAAGCTCTTTTCGGATACGGTGGCGAGGTTAATGTTGTTTTGTTGTTGATCGGCCACGGTACTAAACCTAATTTGAAGAGTCAGTCTCAAAGGTATTAGGTATGGGCATAGGGGTTGTTTTGAAACCTTTGTGTAATGACGAGACTTGATTGATAATTTGCATGTTTTGTTCTTGTTTTTTCCTAGTTTGTAGGTTTGCCACTGTAAATTTTCATTGTAATATTGGATTAGCAGATGGCGTTACATGTTTCATCTGATTTACCACCTTTTGCTTATGTGATTGTTCACCTCAAACCCAAAAAATGAAAAACAGTAATTTCAAACATCAATGAAATAAATCGAAGCTATGTAGGAAGAGATCCTGGCACCCAAATTGCTTATCATCATATCAAGAACTGTTTCTTTTTTCCTAAAAAATTCTCCACATTTTCATAGAGGATTTGATTTCGAAATGGATAAATTATGATTTCGAAATGAATAAATTATGATTTCGAAATGGATTGAGGGCCCTCTTTTAGGAGGAAGAGTCAAACATAATTCAAAATTGATGTCTCACATGGTCAAATGGTGTCGGGTCAATTGACGCAATGTATTAGTATTTCGTTACCTCAATAACGATTGTTAAAGATTGAGTGATTTATTTATTATAAATGATCATGTCAGTGACTAAATCATTACTTTTGAAACATTAGTAGAATATGAAGTAACCTTGTCAAATAAATTATATATTGAAGTTATCGAAAAAAATATTTTTTAAATTATTTTTTTCACGAGATTCTACCTTGGTTATCAAATTATTTTAAAATATTATTGTTACGTTTTTTTCATTTGATCAATGTTAACAGTTGATGTGGTAATTTTTTTTCACGATGACACAGTGTAACCTTACGGTGACACATTAACATCATCGTTAATTTTTTAACAATGAGTAACTAAAATAAAATCAAAACGTAACATCGTATGATTTTGTAAAAAGAAAAAGTTGTGACAAAAGCGTAACACATGAATAGTTGAGTGACTAAATACATAATTTACCCTAAAATTATACCCGTCAACTGATTTCTTTTGTGTGGATAAATTGTGAGCCTTATTATCTAAAGTGAGCAGAAGTCTACTACAACTAATACAAAATATAGAGTATTCACACAAAAAACAAGAATACCCCACCGAATCTTCCACCTTGTACATAGCTAACTATTTACAAGATCATTTCCATTGATATCTTTGTCTTTAAGCTTAACAATAACTATTTCTCTAATAACATTCAAAACATCATTCTCACTTCTGAACATCCTCTTGAACAACTTGCAATTCCTCTCATCTCATAAACAGTAGATATGTGCATTTCAGACCACCTTAAGGATAAAAACAAGTAAAGATTTACCCTTATAGGACCGAACATGTAACACCCTATTCCCGTATACGTTTCCGCATATGAGATCAGGATGTCACTTAGAATTTACAAAATAGTCTTTTTTCGAAAATCAGTAAAATTTTATTTCTTTCTAAAATAATTCAATTATTATCTAAGGTCTTAAAATATTTCATTTCACTAGCATTAAGAATCACTTTAACGAAAATATTAATAAGCTCATCTTAATTTTTAAACAGTAATAATAAACACTACCTACCGAAACCAAATTCCAACATAACTATTTTTAAGTATCAAAACCATCTAGTATACATGCCAACTAGTATAATCATCATTTCAAAAGATGTCATATTGATTCTGGAGCAAGTCTAATCTTCAAAAGGTGATGTTGGGCCTAGCTCCTTACTCCGGTCGCTTGCCTTTACCTACGAGTGAAAATCATTACACGCTAAGCATACACTTAGTAAGGCATTAAGTTCTAATAATAATAATAAATAGAGTAAAATCAGCAATAATATATTTATCAAAATATCACATAAATAAAATATAAGTGTCATAAGAAATATTGACTAAAACTAATTTAACTTATCAACATCATATAAAATAACTTGTAAATAAGCAATT